AAACAACAATGCATAATTTCTGTCACAGAATATTGAGCACGATTATTAAAAGAAATAATTATTTATAAATTGAATTTGGAATGAGAACAATTAGAATATTAATCCTTCGTTCGAAATTCAAATTTAACCGCGTCCGTAGCCCGGCAGATTCAGCAGTGGATAGGCGTAAGTTCGTTCGGCCTGACGACGACGGGCGCGCAATTCATTTCGTTTGAAGTGAAAGCAACCGCCGATGAGTTTTATTCTCGTGCCATTTTCGACATCCCTTGGCTCCCCACCTCGGTTCTATTTACTAACACCACGTGCTTAAGAGATGCCGTATGACAATGTTATAGTCCATCACATTCTATGGCGTTTGTGCTAATCTCTGGTTCATTATGTCATGTTTGTTACAAAAAATGCAATTGCCGGAACATTGGGCACGTCTTAGCTAACTAACAACTGCCTACCTGTTTTTTGCAATCACTAGGATAATTACTAACAAAGCGAACTTCGATATCTCCTAGCATAGCCCACTGGATTGACAATCAGTGTAGATAATTTCGTAATTAAATTTATCACTTCCAGTGACGTTTTTTGCTAGTTTAGTTCCGAGTAATGCATCATTTACTCGGAACTAAACTAGCAAAAAACGCTTTTAAAAGATGAATCAGATTTCAAAAATGCTTAATAAAACTAAAAAATAATTAAAAAGTCGTAAATTCAAGCCACGCGGCCAATAATAATTTCCTTAGAAACTCTAAGCTGATCTTCCGTAAGGAAGATAGGTAGATGGGATTCAAACCCATGACCTTTCGCAAACTCAGGGTGCCAGGGACTAAGTGGATTTTTTTAATAATTTTTCATTAAGAATATTTTTCAGTATGGCATTATTGTATGAATGCAAAATTAATCAAAATATAATAATTAGAACAAAATTCTCATCTTTATCGAAAGTTTAAATATTTGTAAAAATATTTCTTTCTACTGTTTCTACATTGATGAGAATACGCTCTGTAGTAGCGAAAAATTAACAAGAGCTTTAAAGTTTCGTCAGTCCTGTTAGATTCTGGGTAGCTCAATGGAGTCGCCCGGTTTGCGAAAGGTCATGGGTTCGAATCCCATCTCAGGGTGCCAGGGACCAAGTGGATTTTTAAGCATTAATCATTAAGAATATTTTTTAGTATAGCATTGTGAATGGGAAATTGATCAAATATTAAAATACTGTGACGGGTTTGATGCTTAGGCAAATGAATAAAAGGCTTGCTAAGCTCGAAAACTTGATTTATTAAACCCGCTTCTGGGTTTTCCCTAATAGATAGAACTTAGTAGATATTTCACGAAAATATACGTTCACATGTTTCTTATCTAAATTAAAACAACTTTATTATTATTAGCTTTATATGTTTAAAGTTATATGATTAAATTATCATGTTCTCACAAGATTTTTTTTCGAACTAACATTCATAAAGAGTATATTGGATTGCTCAAAATTCCAAATTATGAAAGGTTAATAATAAAATAAACGGTCGGTGACACGACGCGCCGTTACAATACTGACTTTGTTTAAAAGTGGTTTAAATAGACAAGAAACTGCAATTGAAGTCGTACGGAGGTTTTCTTTGGGTTATTAAATGATGACCTCTTTTATTGGAGTTTTGTATTTCTGATCATCATTGACATTATTTTTAAGTAGGTTAATATTTTTCATATTTACTTCAATGTTTTTGTTTGGTTCTTTTTTTTATCCTTAACAAATCCAATAGTTTGTAACTTCAAACCAATGAACCATTTTTTCGAAATTTATGCTGTCCTCTCCATTGAAAGTTGAGAAAATAAAACCTACATAAGTAACTAAATAGAATCATTGCGATCAGCAGGCGTTTCCGCTAACTTAACTGATAATCACCGAAAAAAGGGGGCAATTCCAATACGACAAAATCACTATTTCGTATTTTCTATCAATGGTTTGCAATTTTTAAATGTCAATATCGGCGATCTCAACTGAACTCCATTTTGACACTTGATTTTGTATCGATTAACTGTAAGCATTCGTGACCATAAAAGTGAACTTCGACGAGTGATTTCTGAAAAAATCATGCTGGATCAAATACAAACGTACTTTTACAAGAATAAGCTTATGAATCGACAACAATTTGGTTTTACAAGGGGTCGCTCGACAACCGAAGCCGGTGTCGAGTTAATACAAGAAATTTTTAATGCCTGGGAGGATTCACATGATGCGTTAGGTGTTTTCTGTGACCTATCTAAGGCATTTGATTGTGTTTTTCATGAAACATTGATTAGGAAACTGCATTTTATGGATTTAGAGATAACTCATTGGATTTTATTGTCTCATACTTGACTGACAGAGTACAGAGGGTTGATATCAATGGCAAAAGATCCCCTGGATCGAAAATTAAGATGGGCGTTCCGCAGGGCTCAATACTTGGTCCTTTCTTGTTTTTGATTTACATAAATGACTTGCCTTATTTCGTAAGGGATGATCACGAAATAGTTTTGTTTGCGGATGACACTTCACTCTTGTTTAAAATTAAAAGAGGGTTACCTCTAAATGACGATGTGAACAATTCTAATCCCCTTATAAGAAAAAAAAAAAGAAAGTTCGTTTCTGCACCAATCTTAAGGATATATTCAACTTCTTGGTTCTGTTATAAGTGCAGTTCTGTGTAATTTTTATAGTTCTCCATAAATTATAGAAATAGAAATCCACAATGAGGTTATAGTTCATCCTCGTTATCTATGGTTTAATAACCTTTTAAACGGCAGTTATATTTAGCCCAAGCCGCGTGGCGCTACGTTAGGTCCTAGTTTTCAGTGTTAGTTGCGCCAACTCAGTTTATTAATAACAAACATGTTAAATTACCGTATAAGCATTATAATAATGAGCTATCGTTTGTCAATGGTTGGATGGGTGGCGTCATAACTTTAACTGTAAACTAAAACCACCTAAGTTTCGCTGATTAATTTTATTGTTTTACGATGACTTGAAAGAGGTGTGCAACGCATTCCACAGTCAATGTTAAAGTCAGCGTGACAGATAATGTCAAATTTCACATAAACTTTAACTGCAAAACCCACGTGGGTCAGTGTGGGCTAAATATGTATAACCGCTATTTTAATCTGTGCCGAAATTTATAGACTATTGAATCGAAATTAAAAGTACAATTCAGAGCCAATATGTTGTTATAATATGTTTTTAGTGTAATTTAATAAAAAATGGATGTGATTAATCTAACATTTATGTTTATTTGTTAATGGCTGATTAAATGATGATTGTATTTTTATTCCATATCTGCTCAAACCCAAATAAACAAATGGTGTTTGTTCCTAAACTGGCAAAACTATAACTAAAATGAAACATTTTAAAATGTTTCTTCAAAGACCCATTTTGTAACATACATATATACGGCAATCAATACTGTGCTTTTAGATATTTATTTCTCACAAGAATTTACATAATTCGCTCACGTAAGGAATTGACAAAAAAAAATCCCAGTAACTAAGAAAAGCGTATACGATACAACACTTCTAAACTTAAAAACTGCGTACAGGAGGTACGGTATATTAGATTACAATATGAGGGTAACCAGCAAAAGGAAACGATCGGTAACAACACAAACAGAGTTAAGATTGTGAAGAATATTGTTTTTTTTTTATAAATATATTATATGCGTGAATGCGTCATATACCTACTGAGATTATTTACTTCTCGAATGTATTTCCACGGCGTTATCAAATCTTCATTTCTGGTTTGGAAACTATTGTGTCAAGGTGCTGGCTGCTGATTAGCTATCACATTTGAATGAATCTGGTAACTAGTAAATCATCATCAATCTAGTAATATTTTTGTCCCGGGTGGAAAAAGTTGTCGATTCAGACCTATTGCCGCGCGGGCCTCCGATGAGGGTAGTTCGCCACCTTAACGAGGGGCAGTTTGGACGGGTTAGCGCGCTTACCAGGCATTGCACGCCCATTGTCCTGTCTGGGGGATTAGTCTCGAATGTTCCTGAATCTTTCCCGTATCGTCATATCGTACGGGAAAGATTCAGGAACATTATCGTAAAAGAGGGGCCGAAACGGGGACCACATGCGCGAGAAGTGGTCCTTGGGACCGTTATCGCGCATCGTTACCCGTAGAGAGGGACACCGCTGAGTTTTAGTGGGCATGCCCTGCTTTATGACTAGCCTCCATTCTGGGTCCGCAGGGGAAAGTCCCGCATAACTAGTGGATTCCGCGCAGGGTGAAACGAATATACGTAACGCATTTCTCAGCGTAAAAAAGGTTAATTCGCCATGTAGCTGGATACATGCCTTCATTGTAGATAAAATTACAATGTGAAACCACAATCGTCATCATAATCATCCTATTAATATCCCTCAGGTCTTCCCTACGCATTAAGTCGAATAGAATAGGTAAGTAAATAGTTGTTAACAACAACAGAAGTGACGACCTCCGTAGGTGAGTGGTTCGCACGCCGTTTTCAATATGTTGCCCTCTCCGAGGTCCTGGGTTTGATTCTAGGTAGGGTCAAGGAAGGAAGTAGGAAAAGGAATTTTCTACATTGTTTCGGTTCCGAGCGTTGTGGTACTTTCGTTAACACAGATACTCCATAATACGTGGGGCTTTAGCTACTCATTTTGGAATCTGAGTATTGCATCGGATGTGTTTAATATTTATTTATTTTAAATGCTTAATATATGCCCTTGTGAAAGTTTGCTTAACATCCGTAATAATAGACCAAAAGCGCTAACCTCTACGCTATCTAGCTTCTCGACTAGACAAAATACTGTTTAAGCTTACAGTAAAACTCTTTTTTACCAACCCTTTATTTAATAATACCAGTTGCTGTCTGCGATTGCGTTGGCAGTATAAATAGATATTAACCTATTACATGTCGATGCTGTGAATTTTGTACTTTACTTTTATTCATAAAGTCACTCTTGTGCAACCCTTGCAGATCACTAGATTTAGCCGTCACATTCTAGTTTATGCCTATTTCTGTCTAATCGGAACTTTATAGTTTAAACATTCTACCTTAGTAAATTTTTGATACGTTTTATTTATTTAACCACTTGAAAAAATATATAATTGGTATAAATCATTAATTAGACTATATTATTTTACCTTATAAAAGTTCCCATTCGATAGGCAAATGAATATAATAAATTCGGTACATTACAATTTAATATTATAGGTTAAATATCGATTATCTTAACTACGTTACAACACCGATTAATTAGACTACTATGATACCTACTGGGTTAATAAATAGCAAAGAAAATTAAATATGCGCAAACTAGATAAGCATTTATCAATTACTTTTTTTGTAAATAAATACATAAATATTATGTGCATACAATTATAGTAATTAACAATGAACAAAGATTAAAAAAATAATTAGTATTTTATCTGTGCTTTATATATTTCAGTAGCGTTTATAACATTTAGCGGTCATTACTTCTCGGCTTCTTATTATATTTCTTGAACCCTCTCTGACATGTGCAAAAACAAGTGCCTCCATATCCATTCCATGTTGAGTTCTTATTAATGTCAGTAAGAGGGTAATTTAATATTCAATGGATATTAAAATTATATAGCACAGTATAAAGTCCAGTTTCGACAATCGGGATTGCTATCGCGTTGAAATGACGATCCAGAAAGTGTCAATTCAGTATCTCGTCCACCCTCAAAACATATACTCACATTTTAAACAGCCGGAATTAAGTTTTAAATTATTTTTATATCACAAATTATCAGTTTTAAAAAATATCGTCGGTGTCTTCATAATGACATAACAGTGATTATTTTCAGAAAAAGTTTCTAGTCAATTAATTTAGTTCTTTTTTTTTAATTAAAAAAAACGATAGCATTGAAAACTTTTTGGATTAAAAAGAAAGTGCTGTGATCTAGTTAAAATGAGTTGTATGGGTTTCACGGACAGGCAATGGTTAACAATTATAGTTATTTCAATAGCAGACTTCTGCAATGCCATTTGTGTGGCATTACAAGCACCATTTTACCCTCTAGAGGTAAGCAATAAAATTTACATTTATTATACAAAAAATCTATGGCATGGCATAGCACGAGAAACTATAATTTTGTTGATTTAAGATTTTTTCGCAGCAAGGTAACGTAGAAATCACAATTCCGTTTGTTTCAATTAGCTAATGAGAGTTGCGTTTTCAGTTATAAAATCAGTGGCGTGAATCATTATGCAATTTAGTCAGAAATTTGGCTGAGAAACAGGCTTTCATTAAGATCTAATAAAGTAGGGCCTGTTTCTTCCCTAAAAAGTTAGTAATCCAAGGACTGCTGGGTGCTGGCGGCTGACGCAATCAAAACCAATGACTTAACGTGTCGTCTGAAGCACGAAGGAACTCGGAAATGTTTTTTGATCACCCGTTTTTGACCGACCTTACGAATGGTGTCTAATTTCGGCATAGACCAAACACTCTTCGAGAAAGACTTCAGATGATCTGCTCTAGGTTTCCGAATAAATTCGTATAAAACCGGGAAATAATACTTAAAACTGTTTTCTTTAAGTTTTTAGTATTAAGTATTTTTTTTTAAATAATTTTCTTCGCGAATGCAATGAAATTTGAAGATAAGAGCAAAAAACTTGAAATTATTTTCTATCAAAAAACTCTCATAATAGGTATAAATGTCGTTTAAACAAATGTTATACATATACAAATATCATTGTTCTATTGAATTATACATATTTAATACCTACTTATCTTCATACAATATTTACCTTAAACACAATAATTCTATCGACACTCATATAAAGTACAGTTAAAAGCACGTCAGATTATACAAATCTGTCATATTTCTCCACTTGATTCTCAACTTTAACGCCTTGGGAATAGAATGTAAAATCAAGCTATTTCAGATATTGTGGTCCTACCTGACGTGCAGCCGTGTGTATGTAATTATTAATATTTATGTTTTAATAATCGACATACTACTGTTATGAATAAATAAACATTTAATTACTCAAAAACACCTACTATTTGTGTTAAAAATATATAAATTTTGGGAAGATGAAAGTGTTCCTTTTAAACGATATTAACACTCGTATTTACTCGTATCCAGGGAATTAATATTGTTTTAATTTATTTGAGTGTATGAAATGATATGGTTTGGTATATCTTAGTTTCAGACTGACCCATACTGGCTATTCTAAATGTCACACACGGTATATCTCTTATCGATACTAGACCATAGAATAAAAGTGCTATATTATTTTTATTATTTTTTGTAGGTATTATATTTTATTAATTTGAACTCAACATACAATATCTACAGACTTAGAACTATTCGTACTAGTACAATAGGGTTATTGGCACCAATCTACATCAGTGACTTGATAATTAAACCGTTAATGTTATTTATTGTCGTTTTTATTGTTTTCGCTTTAATAATTTTTCATTTAATAAAAACAACTTTAGAATGTGTTTGAATAGGTGCTTTATAGATTTTGTTAGACGTTTTGAATCTCTTGCAGTGCGTAATTTCTTAACCTAGTGACCTATCTCCTAACCCGTCTAGCTTTAACTCTAGCCATACATCTTAGCGATGTTATCACGATATTTCGTATCACGTTAATATTTTGACGTATACTTTAACAACGAAGACCGAATGATAAAGAATGATGCAAGTGGATTTGACAGCAATGTAGTCATTTAGTCCAAATTTATCCATCAAAAGAAATGTCAAAGTAGTAAAATGTAACGAAATAGTATAGTCATAAGTAATATTCGCTGAGATGTCGTATCCAATAGCTAGAGTTATATATCTAAGAAGTTCAGAGGTCGGACCTCTGACATGCGGGTCATCTTAATGATATTATATGGCTACAAAGATTGTGAAGGTTCCGAAGTGTCTAAAAATGTAATGTGATGAATTAAAATGTTAAAATCAAACCAATCCGCGGCCTGCAACTTATATGCTAATCTGGCACTGTCTATACGTAACTGACAACTTCATAATTGTCCTAAAGCGAAATTAAACCAAGGAAACCTATATTTTTCAAATATTTCTTGTCATGTTCTCCCAATTTCGAATTTCATGAATAAGATGTATGAAAACTAAATAAAAAAAGGTTATTAAAGTTCATTTTCTCACAGTGCTGTCCTCTGATTTAACTAGGCAATTTATTAATCTACAAGCTGATAACCCGCGCTTTCGTCCGGCCTATGTTATCCTCCTGGCTTATGTTATCCTCTTAAAATGTAGCTTCACGTTGTTTATGAATTTCCATGATCGGAGGCCCAATTATCTAATTTTAAAAGCTATCACAATACTTTCCAATTTGATATTTGAAAGACAATCATTAACTTCTCGCTGCTATTTGAAATGTGGTAGCGATTGCGACGGCGACGTTATTTTGAAAGATATTGAATGAAACATATAATTAATATGACTGATGATATATTTATCATACCGTATCTGATATTAAGTGTGCCATTGTATTGAATATTTAAGTCATGTAGTTGAATGGAGTTGTTCAATCAAAGAGCTATACGTAAAATTAATCGGTCATTTTAATTAGTTATCTGTTATGTTTCTCATCTTATATCCATGCTAATTTTATAAAGAATAAAGATTTGATTGCTTATTTGTTTGCATGAATAGGCTCCGAAACTACAGGACTGATTTTAAAATTCTTTCACCTACGGTAAGCTACATCATACGTAGTAAACATAGGCAGGCTTATTCTGGTAATGTTTATATAATAATCGCATCCCAATAGAATCTCAACAACATGCATTTTACCATTGTACCGTGACGGGTTCGGTGCTTGGGCCAATTAATGAAAGACTGACTAGCTTGAGAATGGATTTATTTATAGTATAAAGGATAAAGTAAACAAACTGTAACAAACAAAAAAAAATGAATATAAAAACAGTTCGTAAGTTACCTAAATATAAAATTAAGATTACCAAATAAAACGAATACATACCCATTTTTGGGTTAATTGATAAAAACTTGAATCGTCCAAGTCACAGAATACACTTTTATTATATAATTCATATTTTAATTACTCTTTCATCATTATTAACAATCATTAATAAAATTTTATGTTTCAATTTATATGATTTATAATATGTGTGATTTACATGTTTACAACAGATGATTTTTTTACGAACTGACATCCATAAATTATATTTGATTAGTCAAAATTTTAAATTACGACAGGTGAATAATAAATAGAAATGATGTTGAATATCAAAGACAAAAAGTTTGCAAACCTAGGACAAAATAAACGGGGATATGGCACACCGTTACAGTACTATCTACCTGAAGTCCAATTTTATTAGTGGCATGTCTTTCTTACACATCAATAGCAACAGATATATAATATCGGACTTCAGGTAATCTCTACTCCATGGGTAAAGTACAATAGCAAAATGCGTGTAGTTACATTATTAATCAGAATTCAGAATTGGCCTGCTGGTATAATTTACATACATATAATATATTATTAAAATACATATCAACGCAAATTTTATTGTATAATGTTATCAACGTCCCTCATTCTCGCGCAAATGAGACGCAAACAAAAGACAGATAACCTCTGAGCGAAACGTCTATCAATTACTATTGATTTCATTCGAGCCCTTCAAACTACAGTTTCTTATCAAGCGACCACCGCCAAACCATGTTACTGGCACGGAGGCGCCACGTTTTTTAACATTTCATTGTGCTTATTACATTAATTTTTAAGGTTCCATACCCAAAAAGTTAAAAACAGTAACCTAATACTAAGACACCGCTGTCCGGCCGTCTGTCACCAGACTTTATTTTATGAACTGATTGACACGACAATTTCTGATGATACGCAACCCTTATTTGGAATACTGAAACTTCAATTTATTTAGACATTATTTCTTAGTACAATTTTAATACAAAACCAGTTGAATGTTGATGATTTTGGGTGTACGCGCCCTTTTAATTTGGATTTGCTTTAGCATTACTAAAGGTTTATTTTGACATTATTCCGTAATAATGGCAATATAAAAGAAATATAATCATACTGGAAATGCTCGTAGGCTTCTGGGCACTTTACCTGTTGGCATTGATTTCGGGGAATATTTTTTCTCTGGTATAGTTTGAGACATACCTAGATAAGTAGTTTTAATATTCTTAATAAAAAATGCTTAATAAACCCACTTTGCCCATGGAAGTCGGGCGCCTATAAATTCATTAATAACCTACAGAATATCTCCGCCCGACTTAAATAGCATTTTCTTGAATAAGTCGCTTTTTAGATAAGTATTATTTTTCACTTTTTTTTTAATTTGAAATCGATTCTCTATTTTTTTCCAGCATTTGAAAGAGGAAAGATTTGATTGCTTGTTTGTTTGCATTGGATAGACCCCAAAACTATTGGATCGATTTAAGTCTTTTTTAATATTTAGGTGATGTCTATTGGAAAGCATATTTTGTTTTGTTATGAAAGGAAAACTACTTATTTGATTTCGATAAAATTTAAATGGGACCACATCCATCATACTGTCGAATAAAAAAAGAATTCAAAAAATCGGTCATAAGTATCGGTGAACATACATAAAGTAAAACATACATGGCCTTCGAATATATATCCTCGTCCTTTTCGATTTTAAATTCGATTAAAACCTTGTTACAGGCCGAGAAAAAAGGATGTACGGCGGCTGAATACGGGCTAGTATTTGGTATATTCGAGCTGGTGGTATTTTTGGTGAGCCCATTATATGGAGCACATCTCAATCGGCTCGGACCTAAGCTGATGTTCAACGGGGGCATCCTTACCACCGGTACTTGCGCCATACTCTTTGGGTAAGCTGACGTTAAAAAGCAAGCAAAATATTTATGCATCATATTTACCTCCAAGATATTATGTGGAGACTGAAAGATTAAACGCATGGATATAATGTATTGGTTCGCACTAGCCTACTGAAAACGAGAATTGAAATCTTTTGCTGTTTGCTATTATGAACTGTCTTCACTTTATGGGTAACAACTGTTCATTATCTATGAAAGTTAGCGATATTTTGTTCCCTCTACTACCTCCGCTTGTGTTCCCATACAAATACGTTTCGAGTTAAGATGAAGTACACGCCTGCTTGATTTCATGCATTTTAATCACGGAAAAAAAGAAATGCATTTATATATTTTTTATTTTTATACTCGTACTTTAGATTATTATATTAAAACCTATTTTTGTAAACATTTTTTTTAGTTAAGATGAAGTTAAGTTAAGTCGTAAAATCGACCCAAACAACGTTTCGACTAATGGAATTATTTGTTCTTCAGAACAATAATAATTAATTTTGTATTCTATTATTTTCAATACAAACACTAACAGATGACATGTTCTTATTTAAGCTATTGGCTTTCTTCTAGGAAAATTTCGGAAAATATTTTATTTATTCTAATAAAATTAATATTTCCGTTTCTGTCCATATTAAGCCTCTTTTTTCATTTTGTATTAAGAGCCCTATTATCGATTACTGTACGACTATTAAATACATATCGTTATCTTCTTTATTTTATTTTTTAGATCGGTAACTCAATCCAGCCCTGCGATTCTGTAAAAATCCAAACCCGAATACGAATTCAGTCAAGTGTCGTCAAATTCACGTACTTTAGTTTATAATTTGAGAATTCGAATTCGGGTCTGTATTTTTACAGAATAGGAGGGCTGGAGCTCAAAAAAGTGCCATCGTGTATTTTATTAAAATCTTTCTATGCAATATTGATTAGAATTTAAGGACAATTTACAAGAACCGAAGCGAAAGAACTATGCTAATAGTTATTTTACACTTATCAATAAGTCAATATTTATTTATTTATTTTTAATTGTTACACAAGACAGAATAACAACAATATATATAATCAAGCAACAAAAAAAAGTAAAGTAAGTAAAGTAGGTTGCAATTCCACACATATGTGTAAACAGCATGCATAATCATAGCAACAACATTAACAAACAAATGCGTTAAATTACAGTTTAAACAGCGCTCAACGTCGCTGTTTTTTTAAAAAGTACTTCCAACTACTAATAGATATTATTATCATATTTTTATTTATGATATCTAGAACGCCAATATTGATTATTTAACTCAAAAATTACAGTCGGAATGTAATAGGGCTCTTAATAAGTTTCTTGTTTTCAAACGTCTACGAAAGTACTGTAGTATGGTTATACAGAGAGCATTAAAAAAACTGCTGCATTATAATCGTATTGGCAAAAAGGTCTCCACAGGCATTCTGTATGGAGAAGAACACGGAAAATCTCTGCACAAGTCCAGTACGGATGGGTGAAATCAAACGACTATTCATACAACCGAGAACAAAACGCTTAACGAGCTTTCCGAACATGGAGAAGCTTGAGAAAATCTTATGGTCACCCATCTATTGATCGAGCTTTGTAAGCGTAGTTTATTACACTATACGGGCTGAACCGTCATCAAAAATTAAATGTTGTACAAGCGAACTCTGTGATTCAGGTTTTATAGAAAATGAACATATCTTTTGCTGTTTTCTTTTCCTTACACAACTTCGTTATTTCAGATTTCCCTAACACAAGTATTTAACTACTTGATTTGAGATCTGAGTAATGTATGTGATATTTTCTTATATTTATTTACGAACAGGCTCCTGGATAAAGTAGAAGGGCACATACCTTTCATCTCGCTGAGCTTCGTGATTCGAGTCATAGAGGCGATGGGTAACGCCGCCTTCCTCACAGCTTCCTTCGCTATCATCGCGAAGGAGTTCCCTAATAACGTCGCCACTATGTTTGTAAGTTACATACAATTAAATTAGTACCTAATAGACAATCAACAGGCCATCGTGTGGTACATAACCGTCATTTTTTACAATTAATTTATACTTAGTATATTGCAATTTGATATTTTGTAGTGACCCGATGCAGTGCTGTATGTTCAATACCTATATTTATTTATGACAAGTGAAACGTAATCAGTTTTTGTTTATTGATTTCTGTTTACTTAAAAGTTCCTTGGTGACCAAGTTTTGCTTATCCTTTTATTTCTTATCAAATCTTGATTTTCGTAAATTATATAGTGCTGATGAAATATGAATAATATTTTTCAATCTTATTGTTATTATATTTGATTAATTTTGCATTCACAATGTCAGTGTGTGCTAGAGACAAAGTGGATTTTTTAAGCATTTTCCATTATTAATTATTTAAATATAATTTACAAAAACGCTCTTTACCAAAAAACTACGACCAGAGCTCGGTCATCCAAAATGCAGACATTTTTCATTAAAAATATTTACTTGTTGATAAAATTGCTACAGATAACTTAGAATTTTCAAAATCCGTACGTAAATATTTAGGAATATTCATGACAAGCAGAAAAAAGTTTTCCCTCTCAAATATTATTACAAAAGAAGCATAAACAAACGATATTCCAACAGGCGTCTTTGGAAACCTTTTTCGGGCTGGGCCTGATTGTTGGTCCAACATTGGGCGGAGCACTGTACGGTCTAGGGGGGTACACGTTGCCATTCGCTGTACTCGGCTCAGCACTCTTCTGTGCTGCCATCATGAGCTGCTTCGTTCTTCCCAGAAGCCATGACGATGAAGACGTAAAGCCTACAGGACGTAAGTATTTTTTATGTAGTTAAAACTTGCGTATACCATCTGTAATGCTTTCCAGTTTACCGACCCCTTGGACCTAAGTTATCCTTTTTATGAAATTGGTAGTACCACCAAAGATGATCTATCGTTTCTGCTGAAACCCAAATTCTGAAATACAAAAAAATAAATTCAATGAGGAAGTATTATAAAAAAAAAACATTAGTTCCCGAAATCAAACTAGATGTCGCCACGGTAGGTTCTTGATTTCTCCATGACAACCCTTCCGGTTTTCTTTAATGTTTAAAAGTAAATTAGTTTTCAAAACTCAATAAACAACTCATATTCTATTTGTACTTTTTCGTATTTGTATTGATATCTAAGTTTCGATATTTTGAAATTTCAGTTTTTTTATATGTTAGTTACAAGGAACGGAAATGACTGTCTTTGATCCAAAATCAACTTTTGCTAGAGTCGCCAACTGGTGGTGCTTTTTAGTGCTTTCGTTTTGTTTTTTAAATACTTCCTTATTGAATCGCAATTGAACAGAATTTTCTTTGATATATCGCATTCGAGATTTCAAAATCAGTTTGTATCTATTGTATAATAGCAAACTTGAACTATAGCAATCATCAATTTTTTTCCTACTTAAATTTTTTATTACTATATTATAGTATATTTTATTGGATGTTTGATTCTTCTGACAGCGAATATGTTCACATTGCTTCAAATTCCTGGCGTATGTATAGCAGCAATAAGTATCATCTGCACCAGCATGAGCATAGGATTTCTACAGGCAACGCTCGAGCCACATTTGCGTCAGGTGATTACTTATCAATGAATAGTACCTAAAATCTTTAAAATAAATTAATTTAAAAAACTTAACCAAATAAACTATTAGGTTTTTGTTTTGAAAACATCTAATAGTCAAAATTATGTTTGTTTTAACATGTAGAAAATGAAGGATTGTTATTTTAGTTCAGTTTGGATAGTGAATTTTTTTAAGCTAGTTACTTGATTAGCTATTTTCTCAATTTTAACCTTAAATGAAGATTATATACGGACGGAGAGACAGAAAAATAAGCAGACATGATGAATCTTAAATCGAAAAATCTTTGCCAGTTGAGTGCTCTTAAGCTGTGTGTTATTAAAAGTGTGATACAGCTACTTATACCTAATCACCCAAAAAGAAAAACTAATTTTAACTATGAACAGTCATTTAGAAAAAAGTTTGAAAATTGTTTTTCCTTTAATATCTCTTTAGTCGTTCACTCTTGACAGAGTGGTCGTGGTTTCATGATGATGCCTATAATTTGGATAATACCGTCTTGGCCATCCGCCAACACTTGTGATCTTCAACGATAACATAACAGGTTTTTATTCACAATGTTTCAGTTTAAATTTACACCAGCAGTGCTGGGTTTGATGTTCGTTATCAACGGTGGGATTTACGCAATGTCAGCGCCGGCGTGGGGCTGGCTATGCGACCGGCCCAGTATCAAACCCAAGTACATCACGGCTATGGGCTGCGTTTTTGTAGCTGCTGGATTCCTCCTAGTCGGACCAGCTCCATTCTTTAATATGCCCACGTAAGTGACTCATAAGTGAGAGCATAAGCTAAACTAGCATCTGTACTTCCTTTGATTAACGTCGGTCTCCAGTTTTTCTAGCTTACGGTCGCACGAACGTCCAATAAGGTTTAATGGCGTCTTTAAGCTCTAATGAATGTCAAATTTGTATCAGTAGTGTCGCTTTAAACTAATGTCAATATTAATGTAAATTTGTGCAACTGGCTGTTAATTAGACAAAATAAACAATCCAGATTAACCAATCAATATTTAAGTTGTTTGAGGCGTTTCACTCTGCCTCACCTTAGGTATACCCACGAGTGGGGTAAATAATGAGGCAGCCTCATCTTTTATTATTAATACGCTGGTATTCTGACGTATTATCAAACGCATAAGGGTTAGTGCAAATCTGACGGAAGTATAAAACGTCAAGAGTTTCTGCCCAAGTTTGATCATATTATATCATACGAGTATATCACGTCTCATTAGAAGTGACAATTTTCTTCAAGCATTTGCCGACCCTAAATTCAAAAATGACCTAAGGAAATGGCTTTATTTAACACGTAACTTGAAGATCTACTCCTTCTTGATTATTGTGAACCTATATCTTTTTTGCAGTATAATTTGGGTGACCGTAGTTGGTTTAATACTACACGGGTTAGGGATTGGATGCCAGCTGGTCGCCTCTTTCAGCGATGCACTCAGCACGGCTATGTAAGTACGAAAATCTATTAATAATAATAATATTCTTTATTGCACGCTAGACAGGACATATTACAGAGATATTAGAAAAAAAGAGACAGAATACAAAGGGCGGTCTTATTGCTACGTAGCAATCTCTTCCAGGCCTGAATCCTGTAGGGTTGCCTGGAAAATATATTATTGAAAAGCTCAACAAAATATCAATGCAGACATTTCGTGGTTGAGGGGCTTGCAGACCGATTTATTACTTCTCATAACGAAGAATTTATTATAAATGTTGCCGCGATAATCAAGAAATTCGGGTTATTCGAAAGTGGCTAAAATTATAGATTTTATACTTAAGTGTAACAAAATGCCATAGATCTGACCAAGAATCACCAACTTTCATGAACAAATAAAGCTGTAATTTAAAATGTCAGAAATATATTATAATGTCTCAGGATACTGATTTGTTCAATATAAAAATTTATAGTATTTTCTCAACGAATAGGCAGAACAGACCATAACCTAAAACTTAGGCCCGCACTGGTCCTTAATAAATTATCTAACTACGAGTAGTATTTTTTTCTATATAGCGACCATGTTTCATAGATCGTATGTATCTGATTTAAGAAACTATTATTCCAGTGCAAGTGGACTACCAAACTCGATTGAAACTTACGGACTTGTGTCGGGCATGTGGACATCTACCTTCGCTTTAGGAGCTTTCATCGGCCCAACAGTATCTGGGGTACTTTTCGACTCCATCGGATTCCAAAACTCAACACTATTCATCTTTGTTCTCCATGTTTTGGTGGTAAGTTGTGTTCCTGCTTAAATTATACCCTATATCACCCGCTTATAATTTAGTAGATAAAATTCCCTAGATAAAAGAATTTTCATGATCGGACCAATATTTCCAAGGATTATCATTTACAAACAAACATACACAGTTGGAAACTTTACCTCTTTATGTTTTTAGTAAAGAAAACCCAGTTATACCTGCACATTACCACAATCAATACACATTGTTTAATTCAATATGTTTGACCGGAAACTGCGCGGCAATTCACCATTTTGGTTCAAGTCACATAAACCGGGCATTTTACTTTTTTTATAATTATATCATAAATACCATCTGGTGTATACATTTTAAGTCTTTAAATCGGAAACATTTATATTGTATATTTAATTATAGATGGTGATAGTCCTCCTGTATCTCTGGACTTACGATCGCGGTTACAAGATGGACGTATCCGTCTCTGCCGGTGATCTCCTGCAGTTGGACGGAACGTTAGACGAGAGCGTACTCGTAGGAGACAACTACATACCGCCCATAAGATCAAAAAGGTGAGAATTCATAACAATACTGCTTCTGGAATGTAACTCGAGCTCCTCCGTGCTTCGATGCACGTTAAGACGGTTGTCCCGACTTCATGCTCACTCTTAACCCCCGTGTTCAATCTTCCTATTATCCAATTCGATTCCATCCATAAGGAATGCCTATGCCTCAGCAATGGGGACATATTTACTGCAACATATACTCAGTAAAATCGTTACACATTTTTTTTGATAAACCTATAAATTTATTTATATATATAGTCAGGTATATCATCTATTAACAAACTAGATCTATATATTGGTATACAACCCCAAGAACAATAGTTTTAAGATATCTAAAAAGTAATCCGAATAGATTAGTTTTCAAGAGAAAAGCGCGTGAACACTATCTAAAAGGTAACAACTTTTCCTGACTTTCCAATCTGACACGTCGATGTTTATTTTACTGTATATGTATATATTTATTTATGTATATATGTATTTGTGTGTTTGTATGTAGGGTTGTATGTAGGTAGGGTATTAATATATATATGTATCTATATGTGTATGATTGTTAATTATATTCAGAATTCTCTATCACTGTCACTGCCTTACAAATTTTCTGCTTATCCTCTCCGGTTGACTGGTAGAGAATGCCTATGGCATAAAGTCCGCCGTTTGCATTAATATGGCAAAAAAGATTAAATAAATAAAAAAATAAATAATTAATAATTCGTTTACTTCAACATATACTGATTTATTCCCAGTCGCCATTGCGGTATCAGTATGGAGCAGTCCCGTCCTCCGGCTATGAACAGTCTGATTGCCTGCTCCAGCTACAAGAACCGCCGCAGCCCGTGGACCCAGCGCACGCCACGTTACAGGCCCACATACGGCAGCCTGGACCATAGATTCAGAGTCGCCCACGTCACATAATACAATATCTGTGCTAATGTCCTAATAATCGTAATTGAATTAATGAATTTTATTAAATATTGAATTAAATATAATCCAATAAACGTTGGATTTTCATTACATAAGTTATTTATTAATTGTATATTATGACAAAAAATAATAATTTCATTAATTTAGCTAACCGTTTTATACATTTTGCCTGCGCTACTACTCATTATTTTTTCTTAGAAATAGTATGTCAGAAACATTGTTTTAAGATGATTAAAATAGATATGTGCTAGCGTAGGTAACAAACTAATATATAAGATTAAAAATACACCATTTAAAAAAAAACATTGCAAATAAAATGATATTGAGTTTCAATTATTTAAAATAATATCCTTCCAACTCAAATTGATAAAATTTTATTAAGATCAAGATAGATTGGGAATAACTATCACATAATACCAGCTACACACGCCAGCTTTAGATTACCATAAAATATTTTTTTATGCAATCAATGGAACAAAAAAAGCAGCATGTTTTTTATACTGTTCAGTGTTAAATCAAAGGCATGAGCTGTAAATGCGTGTGCTCAGTGTGCACTAGAGTACAATGCGCTCTACGCTCTTCTTCAAACTTAACCATTGACATTACCAGTGATACTACCAACTTTAAACGAGCAAAACTATAATAACATACTGTCCTCATGTAATATTTCACATAACAGAACGAAAAAAAGGAAATTCAAATTAAATCATCTCTTCCAATGAAAATTCGAACATATGCTATTTATTTGTAGTAATTTCTCGGTTTGCATAGACATCTTCATCAATCATCGTCACGATCATGGATACTGGAACAAAGGGAAACCAGGGGCCTAATTGTCTAATTTAGAAATCTATTGCAATCCCTTACAATTTGAAAGGTATGCGCTAACTTAACGCTACAACTAATTGAGATGTGACAGCGATTGTGGTCTGTTAAGAAGACTGGCCACTCACCTCTTTTCTCCTTAGCCGGACCTGCACGTTCCCTCAGGACAACGGTCAAGGCGCTGAGTGACCACACGAAATTATCCTAGGTCACTGTTTCAATCTTCCTCCTTGTGTTTTTCACGCCGAAAACGCTTAGTAAAGCGGGAAATGTTCCTTTCAAATTTTATGAAATTCGACGCAAGTAATGAACGAAATTATTGTTAAGAAAAATCACATATGCAGCCGCACGTAACACGTTGAAAAGCGCAATGTCTTGAACTTCGTTTTGTTTGAAAAAAAGGGCGGTTATGCTTGTGGCGCCTCCCTGGTATTGAGCGGCGGACTTAGGAACTAATTAAGAATGAGTGGCCAGATATAATGAAGTAATCAATCCTAAATAATTTTGAAACGGAATTGTGCTTATCATACCAAAAAAAAAAGAAAAATAAACATATATTATATGCGAAAACTGCTTCACTACGGAACATGCCGCTCACCTTAAAAGAACCAGGTTCTTTTAGCGCAATAGCGACTTTCAACATTATCATCATCACATCATCACCAGCCCTTTTACGTCCCCACTGCAGGGGCTCAGGCCTTCCTGATGGATGGTTAAGGAGGATGGGCCATGACCCTCCACGCTGGCCCAATGCGGATTGGAGGGTATTAACGACTGCAAATGCAGCCGGGACCAACGGCTTAACGTGCCTTCCGAAGCACGGAGTAGCTCGAGATAATAATTTTTGGTCACCCATCCCGTGACCGACCCTTGCGAAAGTTGCTTAACGATTACGATCGCGGGCCGCGGCGCTTATCCACTACGCCACCGAGCTACTCAACATTATACCTATATTTATATAAATCGCTATATGATTCGTTATACTTTTAAAAGAGATTTGGAAATTAGATAATGAGTTCACAGTTCTCTACTCTGGACCGTACATAGTGTATAAGATATTATACACTGACCTGAATTACTCCGTTTGGACAGACAAATGAGACAGAGACAGCTTTTTATTGATGTTGTTTCGACAAGCTTATGCTATAACTGTATATTAATCAAGCAGTCTAACTTCAAATTGGAATCAGGATATTCAGAATATTTATAATAAATATAAAAACTTGATTGAATCTGCAATTTTAATTCAGACACACTATTACCTTAATCTAATTTATTTCGTTCAATATCTATAAATGAATCAAAAAATTGCAAACACAGTAACGTAAACAAACAAAACACCTTAGCAATTCAAATTATTACAAGTTCCAATTTCTAAATAGTTTGTCGTGTGCCTGGTTACGTCACAGCTTGTGATATTGAGAACGTTACGAAACCAATCTAGAATAAATCAGTCAGGTTGTAAAGTAAATACTGACAACCGCATAAACAATTTACACCGGTATACAAATATGGAAATCCCATCTACTGCCTTGTGCAACACTGCTTAGAATAGACTTGTCTATTTAATGTTCATATAAGAGAATGCAATGGAGCTCAAATGTATAGTTATCGAGTTGACACGTACTTTTTTGAAGCAAGGCCACTACAGTTCATTTCTTGATAATTTAGGACATTTTCTCTTTATACTAGAAGATATTTCACAACCCTGCAAAGCGATTTTCGTCATATTTTCTAAATGGAAAATTGTAAATCGTGCGCCATTTAGAGCGAGTTTAAATTTTAAGACAAACAAACCCGACCCATACAGCCTAGTCTTAGTAACCTAACGTTTAATTATAGTACCTCTTTTGTTACAAATTTTCATGGTCAAACTGTTTTATTATTTAAATAGAAATCTGAACACTTATGTGATAATTAGTCTAATATTATTATTATTATAAAATAATCTGTGCTGCTTACAGCTTATCATGGCCCAAAGTTGGCTACAAAATGTGCAATTTATTAAACAGTATTGCAAATTTTGTTGTTTTTGTCTGTAGCCGAGTTATTCGCATGCCGTTCTTAAGGTGTGGCCATTTCTGAAGTCGCGGGTTCGATTCCTGGTCGGGTCAATGTGGAAAATTAACTTTTCTATATCATATCGGGTCTGGGTGCTGTGGTACCTCCGTTGTCTCAGATACTCCATAATACGCGGGCTTTAGCTGCTCATCTTGAAATCTGAGCAATATATGTGATATAGTCTAATATTTATTTTATTTATTTACATTCTATCATTTTTAATGTATCTAGCTATATCTTCACCCCGTATCCGTTATGAGGTAGTAGGAGAGAACCAACCGCCACAACGTACGGCCCTTACATACATCTTTCGCCTCATCCACTTTCATTACTCTTTCCATACATACCTTCCGGTTTTGGCTTTTATGGCTATAACTTCCAATATGTATCATAAAATATTTATATGTATTCTAATTTTATCCCTACATCGGATTGTATTATTTCTTATGTCATTTTTATAATCAAGAAACACTAACACACACCCCAATATTACCACAGCAAAATTTTGCAAATAGTACAAAATTATGTTATAATTGTACATACAAATACATTGTAAAATTGAACTTTATATCTACAACTTAAAGTTTAATTACTTTTATCGACTCTTGATAAAGTAAATTGTATTATAAACATCGTAAAACAGTTGCGTCATTTCAAAAGCTTCCCACGCATGAGTTTATCGTGGCAATTCTAACCAAATAAAAATAATTAGTCAGAAAAAAATGTGGCATTATATTAATCGCAGCCTTTTTAAATGATTAAGTCCGAATCCCAAAAATGGAGGCATCCTTTTATGTGTAATCATTATGTGAATATAGACCTACTTTTAATGATTTGGTATGTTTGATTGTATCAGTTAATAACTTATTTGTTCAGACACTAGACACACTTGTACACTTTAAAACAAAGGAAATCATTTAAAGATCGTAATATAGACTACTATACTATTTAATGAAATGAAACCTTTATTACTTTTTGAAGTAGGTTTTAGTTGATTGAACCTCTATGCTGTGACAACGATGAACTCGACGACGAGTTGAACGTTGATTTTATAACACAAAAGAACTACTGATTTTAAGCGAACTACTTATAGGTACTCAATGTTTTCTTTATATTAGTTTTTAATTTTCTTAAATATATGGGCCTTATAATTGTAATGTATACTAAGCTTTAAATTAAGATTTTTCTGAGATTACAAGATTAAACGACTCCGCAAATGCCTATTTACAGATGAGTGACAGTTTTTAATTAAGAGAGCATGTGAACCAAATATCAATAGCTTTCTAATGGATTTATAACAAAGTAATAACGTCGAAATAAAATCTAATTTAAAAAAAATCTCCATCATAAGCCTGTAAAGTTTTATTTTATCATAGGCAAAATAAAAAAAAACATAAAACCTTGCTATTGAAAAAGTTATCTTTAAAATTCAACATATTTTCCGTCTATTCTATTAATTATGTTCTTTTTTACACAAAAAGAATATTAATATATGACAAAAAGAAGAGAATAGCAATCTCTTTTAGATCCTCTGATAACTTTAATGCACGTCCAATCAATCTGTATGCAAAGTATAGTCTTGGGTTTCTACATTATATCAGTATTTGAAAATTTACAGACCACATATTTTTAAATTCATCTTAAAGTCTGTTCTATTTCTTTGCAGATATCGGATCATTGATATCTACAACTAAACTGCTTGAATAATAATAAATAGGCTCGTCTATAAAGCCTATTATAAGTACCGGCGGAGGATTCACAGGGTCTGTATGCCAAGCGGACCCACGACCTTTAGACGATCACTCTTGGAATGTAACCTTTCCACAAATTGCTATACGCCTTTGGTCTTCCTTAGATATTGACATTAGATACATTTTCGATATATACCTATACAATTTTAAACTAACTATGACATGGTTTCTTTACATTGAATTCAGAAATCACTTCACAATTAAATTTAATATTATTTTTGTATATGTCTATTCAACGGTATCTACGTGAGAACTAAAAGCGACTTCTTTAAAATAAGACTAATTCAATCGGACGTTTTAAAACATGGCCATCAAATGAGGAGGTATTATATTTATTTAATAGATAAACAAATAATGGAATTAATAACATTAGTTGTTACTGGTTGTA